GGTTATACCTGTGACAGTAATACAGTACGAGATGTGTATATCAACATGTGCCTCCTACAAATAAAGACTTCTCGTTGTTTTTTGATACATTGTGTTCAGTGGTCCAATTCGTAATAGCAGCTCCGTAGTCCTGTGGTTTTAGCAGGATTTTTTTTTTCGCCCTCTCGCATTAGTTTTGGGGTCTCCAGAGGATGTCATCCATAAAATTAAATCAGTGTGGCCTTAGTAAAATTCTACAGTAGTACACCTTGCTGATGGCAACTTGAGATACATTGATGCTGTAATGACAATAGTAACATCTATTTTGTAGGAGATTATGTAGGAGTGAAATACAACCAGAAGATGCTTTGGGATCCAACCTGCCAATCCATGTAGCCATTTTGTTGTAAACCAAGAATAGTGTATAGTTTGATTTAGAGTAAAATTCTGCAGTTTGTCTGCTAATACCATATTTTTGTAATATTAATTGTGAATCATTGTGGTTGTTTGGGTGAATGATAATTCTAAAGAACACAGCAAGTTGAACTTTCATCACCATGTCATCACACAATAGTCTTGATGCAGGAAGCATGTGTTTTATAAAAACATTCTTGATGACTTGAATATTTCTATTGTACCATTATTTTATACTATCTTTATTCTAACCATATAAATGTTCTCATAGTTTACAAAAGCATTCATTTCTTATACTAGTATATAAACATGCAAATAACTTTGAAAGGTTGTCCCACAAATATTAAACTGTGCATAATTGTTAATTTTCTTCTTCCACAAAAATAACAGAGACAATTCCATTTTGATTTCAGTGAACGTATCAAACACTCTAAACATTATAAAAATTTGACTTACTTGCAGAGCTACATAGGCCAAACCAAACAGCATGGATACAACCAAAATACTGCGACAAAAACTGTACAAAGCACCAGATAAGGATGAAGTAGCTGCAACATTGAAATGAAATAATTGGTGACTGATGGGTTAATAACTTAAAAGTAAACTAAAAAAAAAAACAGCCAGTATAATTATGGAGCTGAGAATGGGACCATTCATTTGCAGCTAGGATGGAATAATATTGTGAAAAATACCACTTTCATTAAACGACTTTCTTGGCATCAAAAAAACCTTGTAAATAAGTTGCAAATTATATATACACTGTGACTTAATACTTCTACATATTCAGCCTGTATTGTTTTTTTCATTTAATGTAAATTATATAAACATTGTACCATTCTACTTACCATTGCCACCAAATAAATGAATATCAAATTGTTCAAGAAAATATGTTGTAAAAGTATTGCACTGTGGTAGTAACCCAATCAAAAATATAATTGGGAAACACAATATTAAAACTGAAAGAGAAAAAAACAATACATGTTAGTTTTAGAAATAATTTATATTACATAAATAGATAACATCACATGATCTTTTAATATAGGTGTGTTTGTTAATCAAGTTGTATTTTCTAATTAGACATCACAATGTTTACGATATTATTTCACATTTGCTGTATTGTTTATATGAAGTTATGATGCTTTGATGTGTAGTTTGATTATTTGCTTTCTCTTAATATTTCTATAGTTATAAAAGTTTTTAGGATTTTCCACAGCTAATTATCTAATTCTTATAGTTAATCTATTAATACGATCATTGATAGACTTTAGATTGACATATCTAGGTCTCAGGTCACAAGAAACAATGTAATGCATGAGCCGCCACGTTTTGCTTGTTATATCGTTGTATTTTTGCATGTTCTGTGTTCCACCATTAAATAAATGTTAGTTGAATGATTATTAGTAATAAACTAAAACTTTCTGACTATGTTATTGCTCTTACAGTATACAATGGCTATACAATTTCATACAACCACAATATCATGACATGGCTGACATATCACATGATGACATGGCTGACATATCACATGATGACATGGATGACATATCACATGATGACATGGGATGACATATCACATGATGACATGGATGACATATCACATGATGACATGGATGACATACCACATGACATAGATGACATATCACATGATGACATGGATGACATATCACATGATGACATGGATGACATATCACATGACATGGATGACATATCACATGATGACATGGATGGCATATCACATGTTGACATGGATGACATATCACATGATGACATGGATGACATATCACATGATGACATGGATGACATATCACATGATGACATATCACAAATTAACATAGCTGACAAATCACATGTTGATAGAGCTGACACACCACATGTTAACATAGCTGACACATCACATGTTAACATAGCTGACACATCACATGTTAACACAGCTGACATATCACATATTAACAGAGCTGACATATCAATGATGACAGAGCTGACATATCACATGTTAACATAGCTGACATATCAATGTTGACATAGCTGACATATCAATGTTGACATAGCTGACACATCACATGTTAACATAGCTGACACATCACATGTTAACATAGCTGACATATATGTTGACAGAGCTGACACATCACATGTTAACATAGCTGACATATCAATGTTGACATAGCTGACACAGCACATGTTAACATAGCTGACACGTCACATGTTAACATAGCTGACACGTCACATGTTAACATAGCTGACACGTCACATGCTCACATAACTGACACAGTACATGTTAACATAGCTGACACATCACATATTAACACAGCTGACACAGCATATGTTAACATAGCTGACACAGCACATGTTAACACAGCTGACATATCACAAATTAACATAGCTGACATATCATATGTTGACAGAGCTGACACATCACATGTTGACAGAGCTGACATATATGTTGACAGAGCTGACACATCACATGTTAACATGGCTGACATATCACATGTTAACATAGCTGACACGTCACATGTTAACATAGCTGACACGTCACATGTTAACATAACTGACACAGCACATGTTAACATAGCTGACACATCACATGTTAACACAGCTGACACAGCACATGTTAACACAGCTGACACATCACATGTTAATGCAGTTGACACATCATAAATTAACATAGCTGACATATCATATGTTGACAGAGCTGACACATCACATGTTAACATAGCTGACATGTCATATGTTGACATAGCTGACACATCACATGTTAACATAGCTGACACATCACATGTTAACATAGCTGACACATCACATGTTAACATAGCTGACACATCACATGTTAACATAGCTGACACATCACATGTTAACACAGCTGACACAGCACATGTTAACACAGCTGACACAGCACATGTTAACACAGCTGACATATCACAAATTAACATAGCTGACATATCAATGATGACAGAGCTGACATATCACATGTTAACATAGCTGACATATCAATGTTGACATAGCTGACATATCAATGTTGACATAGCTGACACATCACATGTTAACATAGCTGACACATCACATGTTAACATAGCTGACATATATGTTGACAGAGCTGACACATCACATGTTAACATAGCTGACATATCAATGTTGACATAGCTGACACAGCACATGTTAACATAGCTGACACGTCACATGTTGACAGAGCTTGACACATCACATGTTAACATAGCTTGACACGTCACATGTTAACATAGCTGACACGTCACATGTTAACATAACTGACACAGCACATGTTAACATAGCTGACACATCACATGTTAACACAGCTGACACAGCACATGTTAACACAGCTGACACATCACATGTTAATGCAGTTGACACATCATAAATTAACATAGCTGACATATCATA